CCGGAGGAGTGGGAGCGCGTGGAGGGCGGGGCTGAGAGTGAGCACCACGGGGTTGGGGCGGCTAAGGAGCGCCAGGGCAAGGCCCCTACACCCCCTCAGGCCCGAGTCTCCCTCCTGCCCCCTGCTTGCCCTCTGGCCCCAGCGGGCATCTCTACTGCGGAGAAGGTGCCCACTAGGCTTCCTCCCAAGAACCCAGACCCCTGATTCCTTTGGGCGGCTCCTACCCCATCCGCAGTCCAGCAACGGGATCCTCAGCGTCTTCTCCTCGGGACCGGGGACCGGGGACCGGGGACCGAGGCAGATCAGGAAAAGGGCCTGCAGACCACCCCCCAGCCAGGGAGCGCCAGGACCCCAGGACTGGGGAGGCCCCGCAGCCAGGAGGGAGGGGCAGGCGAGCTCTCCCGGGAGGCGGCCCCTCGCCCACCTCGGACCTCCGGACCTCCGGGCGGAACGGGGGCCGTACTGAGCGGCTCAGCCCGCCGCGTCTCCACGTTCCGGGCTCCGCGTCCCACCTCCAGACCCCGCCGTACACCCGGGAACCAGGGCTGGGCCCGCGCGAGCCCACAGCGTCCCCTGGCGGGAGGGTCCGACGCCGCTGCAGACCCTGGGCCTTCCTGAGGCGGGACAGGACCCGGTACCCTGGCGGGCACCCCAGCCTTCCCCACAACCCACAAAGAGGGCTCTGCTGTCCCCTTTGCACGGGGAAGGAAACTGAGGCTCGGAAAAGCCTGGCGACTCGACCAAGCCCAATGGCAGGGGTGGGTTGGACGAGCCGGGGGCTGGAGAGGAGAGCCAGAGCGCGCTGGGGTGGAACCCAGTCCTGGAAAGCGAGGGAGCTGGTCAGCCGCCACCGCTCCCAACTCCTGCGGCCCCTGGCCCCTGCCGGGCCGGCTCCTTCTGGAAGACACTAGCTGTGGGCGTTAGCCCTGGATGCACACCCGCCCACACAGGGGCCCACGCGTGAGCCTCCACCAAGACCACTCCATCTCCTGGGCCCAAGGGCACGGTACCTGCCCTGGTGCAGCCTGTCCCTCCCAAATCGTCCCTGATGCTAAATCTTTGCTTTAATGGCAATGTGTTTGTTATGGACTGTTTGCGTTCCTCCAAAATTTGTATTTTGAAATCCCAAGCCCCCAAAGGTGATGGTACCAGGAGAAGGGGCCTTTGGGAGGTGACAGGTCATGACGTCAGAGCCCTTCTGAATGGGATGAGTGCCCTTAGAAAAAGGGATGCTCTCGAGCTGTCAAACCCATGGCATGAGACATGAAAAGATGCAGCCCGGGGTGGGTCTTCCCAGAACCCGACTCGCCTGCACCTGGCCTCAGACCTCCAGCCTCCACAGCTCTGAGGAATAAACGTGTACTGTTTCTACGTCCCTGGGTCTTTGGTGCCTCACTACAGCAGTCCAGAAGACAGTGCCTGCCATTCAAACCTGTATAAAACGCTGCAGAATGTGCCCTGGAGACAAGCACTTGGACTGGAGTGTGCCATGCCTCTCCACAGCCTCTCTGACGGGGTCATCTGTTTCGCAGGTCAGCCTGGGCTGAACCAGGCCACACAGGAACCAGCAGGCAGATGGCCATCACAAGAGTGCCCAGCCCCAGAGGAGGCTGTCTGCTCACCTTTCACCAAAACCCCTCAGATCCGCTCAAGGAAGGGGAAATGGGCAGAAGCAGGCGTTCTTCTGAGACCAACTGTGGGGAAGAAAACCAGCAGCTCCCTCCCACTGGATCCTCCGGGAACCTCTCTCTCCAGGGGGCAGGGGAGGGAGAAGCCATTGGTTGTTTAGGGAGAAACTGTCTGTGCTGAGAAAAGGCAGGAGCCCGGCACGCACCATTAACTGGCTTCAGCTCTCCCCAGGATGCACCACTGAGGGCAGGGCCCAGCCTGCTGAGCAGCTCAGGGCAGGTGCAAGGACTCAGCCCAAACGCCGCAGCCCCCTCCCGCCCACATGCCAATCCCAGAAAAGCTGCTCCAGAAGCAAATCCCCAGGTGGCAGGAGCCAGAAGCTCCTGTTATGAAGAGTACCCAGCCAGTGAGCGAGCGTTTATTAGGGTCCTTTTTCATGACCTGGGAGACAGACCCAGGGTGGACTACGTGCATGGGACGTCACACTTGCCACATGCATAAATACGTGAAGATGCAAATTACATCAGCACAGATTCACAAAACTCTTAGCCTTGGCAAGAAAACACTGCAGCTAGGCAGCTCCCGTTCTCAGAGACTCCTGCCACAGACGTCACGGAGACAGCATGGGCCTCCCCAGGAACAATCCCCACGGCTAAGGCTCCCCAGACCTGGAGGAGCAGGCTCTGTGGCGAGACACCATCACTTCCTGTTCTTTGCAGCTGCCTAAGGTTACCTGGTGGAAAAATTGAGTTTTTTCAATGTTGCGGGTATTTTAATAGTTCGTCTGTAGGAAGAGCATTTGCAAAGTCACCAACCTGCAGCTTCCGTCTATAGACCAGGAAGGGTGATTCTCTGGGTGACTGCAGCAAGGCATCCCCTGAGGTACAGATACTGCACCCCCCACCCAAGTGTCCCTGCAGCCACCACAGTCCTTGCAGCTGGGCTCAAGCAAGCCCTGCCAAGCCCCACACCTCCCTCTGGGCAGCAAGCTCAGGCCCTGCGCAGGACCATCTTGAGGTCCGTAAATGAAGCAGGCGTCACCAGAGCAGAACTCTGCTGTGGCCACTGGGTTCTCCCACACAGCTTCCCTCGAAGCACAGCACAGCCACCGACCACTGACTTCAAGCAAAGGAGAGACTGAGGGGAGCCCTGGGAGGATGTGGGGACCCCCAGAAAATCTTCCCTCACCCTGCTCCAAACAGAGCAGTCGAGACCAGGAAAATGAGGCCTCTACTTTGTGAACAACAGAGCTGCCCATGGTGGTCAGGAGGCGCCTTCCTCCTGAGCCCCTCCCACGCACCGAGAAGCAGGGCTCAGCTGATGATCCGGTCCCGTCCGGTCCGTGGAGGGAAGGCTGTAGCACTGCCGGAGGGAATGGGTCAGGGCCTCCCGCCGCTCTCCTGCAGGGAAACGGGGTTGGGCCCAGAGCCAAGCTGCAGTCAGGGATGAGGCCTGCATGGGGCAGCACACAGAAAACCTTCAGAGGTGCGGCTGGCCCAGGCCCAGCTCAGTGTCTACAGCCAGTGACTGACAGTCCACTGGGACACTCCCTCCTGGGGTGACCCTGGCTGCACAGCTGCAGTCAGAACAGCAAGTCCTCCAGGTGGCAGCTCCAAGCTCAGGGCAAGTCCCACCCAACAGAAGAGCTGCCCTGCTGCACTTACAGGGAGGCGCCAAGCCTGTCCAGCTGCCCTGAGGAGATGCTGCTGGAGCCCTGCCATGCACACAGCACATGGGGTGTGCACGATGACACAGCTGCTGCGGCTCCTCCAGTGCGTGCTCACCCAGGGTTCTGCCAACACAGCAACAGAGCGGCCAAGAGTCACGGGAGGCATGGGGGGCTCAGGCGCCAGTTGGGGCTGTCCACCGGCACAGCAGATGCTTCCAGGTAGGTCCTTGTGTCCCTGCAGCCCTGCACCAGGAGGGCAGCTTCAGTGTGTCCAGGACCTTGGAGGTAGCACTGATGCTCTGACCTGTCCCACGGTGTCACTAGGTCCTCCTCTGGGACCGAGCGTCCCTGGCCCACAGGGAAAAGCCTGTCCAAGGCTCTGGGTGCTCAGGGCGTGTCAGCCTAGAGAGCAGTGACCTGTGTGAGCTCCGTGTTGGGCGTAGACGGGCTCTGTGGGCTGACGGGCACCATGGGCAGGTCCACGCCTAGTCATGCGGGCCGCGGCACTGCCTCAGAGGTCTTGCAGGCCAGGGCCACGTCCTTGGCGATGCTGCGCACGCGGTCAGACACCTGCATCTCCCGGCGCAGGGCGGAGGCGCAGCAGAACTTGCGGAAGCAGGCCTTGAAGTTCTCATCCAGGAAGGCATAGAGGATGGGGTTGAGGCAGCTGTTGACGTAGCCCAGGGCTGTGCAGAAGCGCAGAATGGCCACGGCAGTCTCACTGCCCGGCTGCACACCCAGCCCTTGGACCAGCACAAAGACCTGCACGGGCGTCCAGCAGCCGACGAACACAGCCACCACCACCAGCACCAGTCGAGTGATACGCCGCAAGTTCCGGTCCTTCTCTCGCGAGCCCGAGAGCAGGCGGACTCCACGCAGCCGCCGGATCATGAGGCTGTAGCAGACGGAGATGATGAGCACGGGGATGATGAAGGAGAAGAGGAAGATGCAGACGGCAAACACAGGGCCCCAGTAGTCCTGCGGGGCAGGGATCTCCACCAGGCACTCGATCTCTGCAGGGACAGAAATGGTCAGCACGGGCCGAGGAGACGTGGAGGGGTCACCCCAGACCCACGGGAAGCCTGGTGAGGGGAGGAGGGGACCGCGCACTGACCTTCATCCTCGACCTGTGCCGAGCCCATGATGGCCACAGGAATGCCAACAACAGAGGCCAGGGCCCAGATGGCCACATTGACAGCCTGGGCCTTGCTGGATGTGCGGACGTCAAGGGCGCGGATGGGGTGGCAGATGGCCACGTAGCGATCCACACTCATGGCGGTCAGCGTGAAGGTGCTGGTGAACATGTTGTAGTAGTCGATGGCAATGACGGTCTTGCACAGGGCGTTCCCAAACGGCCAGAAGCCCAGGAGGATGTCTGTGCCCTGGAAGGGCAGCGTCAGCAGGACCAGAGTGTCTGCCAGGGCCAGGTTAAAGATGTAAATATTGGTGGCTGTCTTCATTTTGGTGTGCCTGCAGAGTAGAGGCAGAAGAAAGGCTTCACTTGGCCATGCTGGCTTGGCCGGGCAGCAAAGGGCGAGCGGTTCGTCTTGGCCACCAGAAGCTACACTGGTCCTGAGTCCCTTAACATCACAGTCCCCACAGGAGCTTGGTAAGTGACAGCTCCTGGACCCAACTTGAGACTCACTGAGTCAGTCTCAGGGGATGGAGCCTGGGGTCAAACATCTTAACCAGCACCTCAAGTGATTCTGACACACACACAAGTTCCAAGCCCTAAACACAGGTCTACTTTAGAGGAGTTGGGGCGTGTAGGGAACCAGAACACACCCTGGACTCTGCATGGGAGCAAACAGTAAGAACCCTGAGGGAAAGTGCCTGCTCTCCTGGATTTCGAATCTCCTCCAAGACCCCTCACAGACTCAAATGCTGTCCCTACAGTTGCCAGAGGTTTCTGAGGGCTCCAGAGTCCATAAGAACATACCAAAAGACTTCCAAGTCCACACTGCTGTCTAGCAACTGTCTAGCAATAGAGACAGAAAATGGTGACAGGCGCAGGAGGGATGCTAATGAGGTGTGATTGTATCTGAGCACAGGAAAAGGTGCTGGAAAGGGCTGGGAAAATTGTTGGTGATTAATAAATTTTTGTTACTGGGCGAAGTTGCTCAGGCCTGTAATCCCAGCACTTTGGGAAGCCAAGGTGGGTGGATCACAAGGTCAGGAGATTGAGGCCATCCTGGCTAACACAGTGAAACCCTGTCTCTACTAAAAATACAAAAATTAGCCCAGTGTGGTGGTGCGTGCTGTAGTCTCAGCTACTTGGGAGGCTGAGGCAGGAGAATCCCCTGAACCTGGGAGGCAGAGGTTGCAGTGGGCCGAGATAGCACCGCTGCACTCCAGCCTGGGTGACAGAGTGAGACTGTCTCAAAAAACAAAGTGTTAAATAAATGAATGGTTGTATAGTTGGGGGAGATTATGGTGGTCATGGGGTAATGGTGGTGGTGACGATGGCAGTGATCATGGTGGTGATGGTGATGGTAATGAATGTGATCAGTGTAGTAGTGGTGATGATGGTGATGGTGATAGTGATGGTGAATGTGATGGTGGTGATGATGGTGATAGTGGTGGTGATGGTGGTGATGGTGGTGATGGGGTGATGGTGATAGTGGTGGTGATGGTGGTGATGGTGATGGTGGTGATGGTGATGGTGGCGATGGTGATGGTGGTGATGGTGATGATGGTGGTGATGGTGGTGATGGTGGTGGTGACGGTGGTGATGATGGTGACGATGGTGACGGTGGTGATGATGGTGATGGTGACGGTGGTGATGGTGATGATGGTGGTGATGGTGATGGTGGTGATGGTGATGATAGTGATGATGGTGATGGTGGTGGTGATGGTGGTGATGGTGGTGACGGTGGTGACGGTGGTGATGATGATGGTGGTGATGGTGGTGATGGTGATGACGGTGGTGACGACGGTGGTGACGACGGTGGTGACGGTGGTGACGATAGTAACGGTGGTGACGGTGGTGATGGTGATGGTGATGGTGGTGATGGTGGTGACGGTGGTGACGGTGGTGACGATGGTGATGGTGATGATGGTGGTGACGGTGGTGACGGTGGTGATGGTGGTGACGGTGGTAGTGATGGTGGTGATGGTGGTGATGATAGTG